TATTTATATATAATTTATATTTTATTTATAATTTTAATATATTTATTTATGCCTAATATATTCATATTTATCTAATGAAATGTTTCTATATGGTATACAAACATTTATATAATATCTAATTATATTTTATAAATAAATAAAATACATAAAATGTATTTATACATACATGATGGAGCGTTGTGTGTCTGTGATTGCATATGTGTTTTTGTAACACACCCATTTTTGAACACCTCCACTGCTACCAGCTTAGTCCAATCCACCATCATTCTTGCCTAGACCACTATAGAATGTAAATTTAATGACATTTGTTCACTTATTTATGGAATTTACAGCTATTGGATCGGTTGAAATTCCTAGGGAGAGAGTATAGTTAGAGATGAGGAAAGCACCCAGGTCCAGACGACAACCTCCCAGTCAGAAATGCCAGGATCAGGTGACCACTGCAGGCCACCTCAGACGAGCCATCCTCCTGACTGGAGAAGCCAGATTGTTGGGACAGATCCCTTCAGATCTAAGGCCCAGGCTCCTCGGAAGAGGTTCACCTCCTCTTCTACCACTGCTGTCCACACCTGCTGCCTACCCCTGCCTCACTCATGAAGTCAGCAAAGCCACTCGCCTATGATCAATCTGTACAGTTCCTAGGAACATGGGGTCTAGAGGTATCTCAGCCCCATAACAAGATTCACAGAGAACCCTCATCAGCCAACAACATTGATTACTACATCACTATTTATGACAAAGACCCAACAACGAAAAATCACCAACCTTCTAATTTGTAGTTTCCTGACATTTCTTTATCCCTCAGTTTCAGCAGGGCGAGAGAATACGGAGGTTCGCACCTTGCAGATAGCCCCTGAGGCTGCTGAATTGTGGGGCTGCGTCAACAAGCATCCGTGTCACTGGGAACCAGTGTTGTGACTGTACCCTGGGCTATGTTGCAAATGGGCCCTTGACTCTTTGCCTCTGGGTGAAACTTAGAGCATAAAAAAGAAAAGAAGCCCTGAGTTCACTGCCTTATTCTGTGTAAGTAGGGGGTCACTGAATTTACTGCCACATCCTATAGAGTGAGCTTTGGGAACTTCATCTGCACTCAACAAGATTCTACCCAGTATTTAGCATGAACATGAGCTCAGCCAAAGTCTTTCAAAGTCTTGACCTCTCTGTGGTGAACACACAATGCAATGTATATATGACATAAAGAATTACAGAAAGAGATGGAGGAAAAGTCCCCTCCACCTATAACTGTGGAAGGAAGAGAACATTCTGCACTAAAAAACTAATAAAAAAGAATCTGATTTCACAGTGTTAAATTGAAAAATTTCATAAGAAGATACGTCTTGTAAAATATGGAGATGTGTCTACTCATAACTATTACCAATTTATTTTGTTCTCTTCATGTAAATGGATCCATGAAAGAGTTATTTGAAGGGGTCTTGTAAAACTTCCCCAAATTAGAAATTATTGATACTTCTCATAAAACTAGTTTCTTAAGAAAGTTAATTCTGACTGACTGTCTTAATAATTTCAGGGACTGATCACACTATTTTAAGTGATCTGAATCCCTAAATTGTATAAATACCTGTGAGATTTTACATTAAATCGGAAAAAGGCTTTTGGCATTCTAATTTCCTCATGTGCAAGTAGGTAATAAAATGACAGATTTCCTATTTAAATAAACATTTTGAGAGTACACAGAAAAAAATGGCATAGATGATAGAGGCTCTGTTCACCCCTCTGGCGACCAGATCAAAGTTGTGATGGAAACAAGAAGCAGCAGCAAGGAAAAATTGCCTGGGATCTAGATGAACAAGCCATACAACTAAGGAGAATCCAAGAAAGCACCCAGCAATGGCAGAAGGTAGGACGGGGTGAGGACGCGGGGCCACCCGGTCTGAAAGGCTGAGTGAGACGGAGGCTGCAGCAGCGGCAGCAGCAGACGCCTCTTGAAGGGGCCGTGTCCGCAAATGGATTTTTGTGGTGATGAACCTGCTCGCTCTGAGCACCAGTGTCGATTAGGCTGTGCACAGGGGGCACCAGGGACTTACAGAGAGATGTCGTCTGAGTGAGGACCGAGGCGAGACTGTACAGAAGTGCTGGCGGTATCCATTGTTCCCTGTTGAGCCCTCCTCACTCCCAGTGCGGACACAGTGCCTCCGTAGCCGTAACGTCATCAAACTGGGTAACAGAGATTGCTCAGCCCAGAAGATTCCCTTAAACCCCGCCTCCCCCAACTTGGGCCCCATCCAAGCCATATCCAGGCTTATTCTCAGTGAGTCAGGTGTTCCTTGCTGAGACTCACACTGGAGACAGCTGGCCTCGGTTTCTGATGTGGCCTTTTGAGGCAACTATAAGCACAGCATCTGTGGATAGCTTGCTGAATCTTAACAGGTGGCCCCGGAGGGGTAGAGGCTTGGGCTAAGTTTGGCCTACAGCTGAACCCCTCTTAGGTCTGTGCCACTGGACACCTACCTCACAAATCTACGCTAATAAGACCAGGAGACTATGTACTGTTTGCTTAGTACATAGAAACAGATGTCGAAAGGTAGCCAAAATGGGAAGACAAAGAAGCAGAAACCATATGAGAGAACAGAGCAGAGATTCAGAAATAATGGAGTCAAGTAATCTAACAGACGCAGAATTCAAAACACTGGTTATAAAGATGCCCAATGAACTTTTTGGAAGTGTAGATAAATTCAATGAGAACTTCAACAAAGAGATAAAAAACATAAACACAGAAATGGAAATTATAAAAGGGAACCAGTCTGAAATGCAGAACACATTATCTGAGATGAGAAGTATATTAAATGAAATAAACAAAGGAATAAACAAAGTGAATAAAGAAAAGGATCAAATACCCTATCTAGAGGATGGGAAAGCCAAGGACATGCAAGTAGAATGACAAGAGATATGATGCCACGACTATAAAAATAACTTAAGGAGCATATGGGACACTATTAAGGGTCCAAATATCCATCCGATCGGTGTAACTGAAGAAAAGCAAGATGTTGAACAGCTGTTTGAAAAAATAATGATGGAAAACTTCCCTAAACTGGTGAAAGAAATGAACATAAAACCCCAGGAAGCTCAGAGAATTCCAAAAACCAGGGATCCAAAGAGGCCCACACCAAGACACATCATAATTAAAATGCCAAAGTTTAAATACGAAGAAAGAATATTAAAAGCAGCAAGAAAAAAACAACAACAACAGATAATTACTTATAAAGGAACACCCATAAGACTGGCAGCTGATTCTCAAAAGAAGCTATGCAGGACAGAAGGGCTTGGCACAAAATATTCAACAGGATATTGTTGTAGACCTGGGATCTACAACCATGAATGCTTTATCCAGCAAAGCTATCATTTAGAGTTGAAGTACAGGTAAAGAGCTTCACCACCAAACCAGTATTCCAGGAAATGTTAGAGGGACTTTTTTAAGAAGAAAAAATATGAAAGACTCACTTCAGATTAAAAGACACACACAGACTAAAAGGAAGGAGATGGAAAAATATATTGCTTTGATGGACCTTGAAGGTATTTAAGTCAGACAGAAGAAGATAAGCACTATATGATTTCACTTATATGCGGAATCTAAAGGAATAAAAAGAACAAACTATTCAAAAACAGACTCACAGATATAGTGGACAATTTGGTGGTGGGGGGTTGGGGAGCACAGCATAGGGAATGCAGTTAGCATTAATACATTGGCTAGGTGGAGGGCCAGGGAGGGAGGGAGCAATTGGGGGAATCATTTTATGAACTATATAGATGTCTAACCAATGTTTAATTGAAACTAATTAAAATAAATAAATTAAAAAATATTTTTAAGAGCTATTCTGTAATGGGAAAAAAAAAAGATACTCATAGTAACAAACAAATTTGTACCACATACAATTTTTTTTTTTTAAAGTATAAGAAAATTCTTAATGGAAGAACATTGAATAACCCATGTTTAAATGGGTAGAAGTCTCTGTGCTCCCCAAATTAATCTGCAAATTTAATGCATTTCTGAGCAGAAGTTTCAATAAACTTAGAGGTGAGGAAAATCTCTCTGAATTGATTCTAAAATTCACCCCCAGTGAGTCAGTAGGATGGTGGTAACTCTGAGCTCTACTTTGTTTCCTGTAGCTCCTCTGATTGCAAAACAACAGCTAGTGTATAAACAGGTAAAGTCACTGTGCCATCAATGTGATGATTCAAATCATGATGTAGCTGTGGAAGGAATGTTTTAATAATTCCTACCCCACATATACACAAAGAGGCTAAACCCAGGTTTTATAGGTGGAAACAGTAAAATGATCAGATATTTCAAACACCCTAGAATCAAATATAGAATAAGGTTTTCAAAATCTTCAGCTAGAAATGGCTGTTGTAAATACGATAGGAAACCCCAAAATTAGAGAGAAAAAGCTGACAAACTTGACTACAATTTTGTAACTTCTCTAGGACAAAAGATTTTATTAATAGGTTGAAAACAAGAACACCAAATGGAACAACATACAAGGAACATATATGAGCGAGATTTAATGTATGTATATCACATAAGGATTTCTGTTTATTGAGCACAGTGAGATGAAGATGAACACAACAGCAGGAAACACTGACAGCGTTCTATAACAAAGAAATCTGTGAAGAAAAACAAATGACCAATAACAAATGAAAAAGCTCAAACATACTAAAAATGAAAATAGTGCATGTTAAAGCACCCTTAAACAAGACTTTTTATAGCTCATAAAAGTGTTGTGTTATAATTGTCTAGGTATAATATATTAATTTTAAAAAGCAAGAAAAGGAAAAATATGCATAAAATTAGCCTATTTAGATAAATAAAACTATATTCCGAAATGAACTAATATATAGAAAAATTCTGGAAAGATATACCAATGTTTATAAGCAGCATATATTTTAAAATCAGAATAAAGAGCATCATGAAGATAAGTAGCATTTTGGAAAAAAATAATTACCTTAAAAAGCATTTTTTTTGTCTTATGAAAAATATGGAAAATATTGATAATAAACTTTAGCATTGAAAAATAGTTCACTTGTAACATAAAAATTAAATAAATTCTTATTCACTCTTACTTCTTTTCTCACTTTGTTTTTCCGAAGTCGAGTTGTATTCAATATCCATGGCATCTAGAAAGTAATAGGTGATGGTCAGAGAACTGGAATTTATAAATAAAAGTTACAAATCCTATGACAATTCACACTGGAAGGCTTGAGCTTGTAACGATGTTCTGATATCACTTCCGTTTTCCTTCTAAAGGAATCAGACAGGTACAAGTCGATACCTAAGGTCTTTATTTCTCTGAGACTTTGAACAAACTCTTCATTACTTATGTGCATCACTTTCCTCATTTACGAAATAGGGATAGCAAAAGTTATCCTGTTCAAGCTTTAGATATTTTTATATAGATTAAATAAATCATCTTATTTAAAAAAATTAATGAAAAATTACTATATAAATCACTAGCAAGCTGAAGGGCATACTTCAAAACTATATGTCGAGTTTAAGAATAGTTATCTGAGGCCTTTTTTCCTGACAGGTAGCAGGACCATTTCTTTGTCTTTTGAGGCCTTTCCAAGGTTGTGACAAAGGGGCACTATTATCTGTCAACAGAAGAATACTTAGATTTCTTTGCTCCATGAACAGGGGTGGAAGTCACTATATAAACACTACACTTTGGTATTGATATGCTAATATAGTGAGTGAGATACTTCCTTTTTTTTTTTTTTTTACCAGTGTATTTCTACGACATCGTATAATCAACCACATATAACCAACAGGACCCATTCTGTTAAACACAACTGTAATCATGATCTCTTGCCTCCCCGAAAGGGTCAAGTCAAATACACGTAGAGAATGGGATTTCGACATGGACTGGACCCCTTCTTTGTCAAAGTGTGCTCAGAGTCAAGTGCAGCAGGAAACGAGAGCTCTAATTTCAGATTCCTGACGTCCTGCAGCCCGGGCCCTGTGACTCTCACCTTTATCACTGACACACTCCCAGCTGGTGAGCTGCCTGAAGTTCTTGAACCCTGACCCTCTACCACAGACATACCCAGGGTCTGTGGTATCTGCTGAAACACCTCCACCCCAAGACTCTCGGGCAGTCTTACCCATCATGTCAGATGCGTGGCTACCTTCTGTCCTTGCTTCTTGGCTTCTGGGCACACCTTTTGAAAAACACATGACACAGGAACACTTCTCAATTCCAAGTTCTTGGAGCTCTGCTCCTATGTTATGATTGGTAAAAAATTTTAGTTTCCACCCCCTGCCCTCCAACCGTCCTCCTTTTCTTCACTCCTACATCAAAGGATGGCTCTACCTCTGAAATCTCTTTGTCAGTGTTGCTTCTCATTGTCTCTGTCTTTTCCTTTCAACCTTTTTTTCTCTATTATCTTTTTCTCTTTGCCCCAAACTTGTATCTTTGTTTTTCTATTTTTCATTTATATGCTTCTTCTATCCATTCTTTAATGACATTTTTTACAAATGTTTGTATTTATCTTCATGTGATGTTATTCTTTTTTCAGAAATGTCGTTATATTTATATGTCTACACATATGTATATATAATTCAATTCTTAAAATAATTTTTTGCAAATATTTTATATAAATACTCTCATAAACTAACTTTTGCCAGACAAATTTTTAAATGTTAAAATAATGAAAATGAACAGCTCTTTCCATTCACTCAACAAGCTTGCTGGGCTTCTCTCATGTGCCAGGTGCTGAGGTGGACACTATAATGAGATAATGATGCAGAATACAATGAAGTGTCAGAGCTTGTCAATCTTAAGAGTAACCATGAAATTGACACATAAAGAAGTGAGTATATCAAAAGATGAGGAATGTTAGGACACAGATTGGACAAGATACCCTGGGGAACATAAGTCAGGAAAAACTAGCTTAGTTTGAGGTGAAGGATCTCTTCCAGAGAACAAAGCAAGAGTTAGCCAGATTAGGGAGGAAGGAGGCCAAGAGAGTAGCCCTAAGTAGATGGAGAAGCATGAGCAAAGGTCTAGATTCAGAAAATGCAAGTAACCAAAGGAGTTTAACATGTCTGAACACAAAGTAGGAAAGTGAGTGGCAACAATGAGGATGGAAGAAAAGGCAGGAGCCTTGACGTAGGTGGCTTTGGAGGCCGTATGAAAGAGAATTGACTAAAGAAAATTAAAGGACATTGGATTTTATGTAGAATAGCAGCATGGACATATTTGCATTTTTGGAAGATCAGTTTAGCTAAATTACTTAGAACACATTTGCTGGGAACAAGATTGAATGCCGGAAGGCAAACAGGAGCCTGTAGCTCTAGTTCTAGTGAGAAGTGATATAGACAGGGGCTAGAGTGATAACATTGGGTATGGAGATGCATGGATAGATTAGAGACATTTAAAAGGAAGAATTGATAGAATTAGGTTACAGAGGGGTGTACTGATGTCATTGATGACTCTGAGAATTTGAACTTGAAAGAATAGGCAAATTAACAGTGTGTTTTAGAGATAGAGAACACTAGAAAAGCAGATGCTGGTTTTAGGGGGAAAGATGATATGCTCAGTTGTGGAAGGGTTGTGTTTCAAAGTGTTGAAAGACATCTTAGTGGAGAAGGACAAAGTCTTCAGGACCTTGGCCAGAGGTCTTTCTGACACCTGGGTGAATGAGTTTAGACGCTTAGAAGACAGGGCTGGGTTGGAGATGCATGTTTAGGAACCTCAGATTGTGAACGGTGATGGAAGCCATAAGAGTGGATGAAATACACGGTGAGATCTCTTGTAATCTGGGTGAGTTACTGGGGCCACTTTGATACCTGGGGACACTTTACAGTGAAAACTCACCGCCAGGGTGAACCACCCCTTGTGCCAACATTGCTTTTGTCTCATGATCATCTTAGACTCCACGGTTCCTCTCTCTCTCTCTTTTCTCCCTTTTACACTGCTACTTTTTCTCTACGATTTTCTCTCATTTTTCAACCCTTTCTCTACATAGTTTGCTTTGTGCCTCATCTATTTTCTCTCCATTTATTACCCCCTATGCATCTCATCCCCATCTATTTTTATATGCTTCTATCTCTGCATCTCGTGTTATTATTGAAGTAATCTTTCCATTCCTCTCTCTCTTTTCTCCCTTTTACACTGCTACTTTTTCTCTACGATTTTCTCTCATTTTTCAACCCTGTCTCTACATAGTTTGCTTTGTGCCTCATCTATTTTCTCTCCATTTATTACCCCCTATGCATCTCATCCCCATCTATTTTTATATGCTTCTATCTCTGCATCTCGTGTTATTATTGAAGTAATCTTTCCACCACCACTTCGCTTTCTGTTTTCTCTTTGCTTCTCGTCTGTTTTTCTCTATCTTATCTTGATCCTTCTTTTTTTTACAATTGCAATCTTTGTCTTTATGTTTTCTTCATTATGTTCATCTTCATCTCACAGATTACTACTTTCATCATCACCAAATTCCTGCTCTTTTGACATTGACTGTTATGACTTTTGCCAGTTCCCTATGAGCTTTCTACGTTTCAGGCCTGCCAGTCAGTCATGGACTTTATTACCATATTTCTGGGAAACTTCTGAGACATATCTTGAAAATCATCCCACCTCCCCCACCTGGTGATATTCGGATTCCATGTCCACTTAGAAAAGCTTGAAACTTACTCAGATACCGTTACATTTCCATTCTTTGTCCTTACATTATCTATTCAGTGTCACCTGTCTCCATTCAGGAGCCCAGCTCTTCTTCCTTTTTGACTTCCTCAAGCCTGATGATGTAGTCCTAATCTGTGCACAAGTCTGTCTCTATGTGAGTGTATGTTAATTTGTGTGCGCATGTACAGCCATGTTTTTGGGGGAGAGGTAAGGTAAAGAAGGAAGAGTTTATCCACTGCACATACAGGAAAACAAAGATAATTGGTAATTAGTATCAGAATGGGTTTCTCCACCACATGCTAACAGACTAGCATCATTTCTCACTCTCTTCTCTATTCATTTGAAGAGATTTGAATCCACAGGACACTGAAGGGAAATAAGGAAATGACAGACAGCAGATGGTGACCAAGGAACATTCTTCAATGTGGTCATGCTCAATCATGTTCACAGCTCAGACAAGCTGAGAAAAAACACACCTCCAATGACTACACCTCACATCCAAAAGATATTTGTTCTGTCTCTTTTTCTATCCAACCATACTTCATTCTCTTCCTGTTTCTCAATTTTCTGCTCATTGCTCTGCCTTACACGTTTCTATCCCCATCACTTTGATTCTGTGAGCTCATCCCCCTGATTTCTCTTTTCTCCTGTGCCACTTTCTCTTCTTTTCATCAGTGATACTGTTAATATTTGTTCATTTTTATTTCTCTGTTCATCTTTTTTAGATTTATTATTCTAGGTGTTCTGTATACCATATAGCTGGCTCTCTTCCTACCTTTTTTTTTTATGACTGTCATTTTCCCTCTCCATCTCTCTATATACATATTTCAATATCTGCCTATTACAGTAACAATATTGGTGGTTATATATCTATCAATATATACACATATGTATGTGTATATGTATATATAAACTTACACACATATATATGTGTATATATATATATTTATTATTGTAGTTAAATAAGTTTTCCTGCATCAGGCACAGATACATCCCCCTGTGAATATGCCAGGTCCCTTGCACCTCCTCTTTGGACATTGATCATGTGACATAGCTCTTACCTTCCTTTTTGTTACATACAACAGTCATCCTTCTTGACCCTTATACATTTGTACTTCAATTTCCTCATTCCAAAATGGGGACAGCAAGAGTTAGCCTGCCTAAGTCTTAAAAATTTAATGATGACAAAATAAGATCTTATTTTGCCAAAGTACTTCAAAATAGCATGATATGATCCAATTACAATGTAATGGGCATCTGTCCAAAACTATACTAAAGTTTGAGAGTGGTTGGCCTGAAGCTTTTATTTCTGTTTATAATTACATAGCAAGACCAGTTATCTTTTGAGGCTTTTACAATTATAAATATTATTAATGTCAAGCAATATATCACTATAGAAATCTAAGATCTTAGTGTAAGCAGGCTTGACAGTAAGTATTAAAAAAAGATCTCACCTTTTTGGTAATTACTGCTTCTACAACAGAGATACATACATACATTTAGTCAATAAGACTTAATCCACTAAAATGAGTTTATAAGAATTTCCTGCCTCCTTCCATTTCCTAAAATGTCTAAAGGAGTTCTCAGGATTAACTGGATACAGGTAGTCACGGTGCTCAGAATAAAATGCAACTGGAAACAGTAGCTCTTAATTTCTGACATTCGCAGGCCAAGGGTTGGCATCCTAATCTTCTTTACCTGACTCGTGTCTTAGGGCTGAGCTAGAAGTTTCCTGATGCTCTTCTCTGTTATTTAATTCTGAATAGTCACCATCGTTGATTCCTGCAGAAATAAATAAAAATTCTTCACACTCTCGGCCTATGTCCTAGGAACAAATTTAGCATGGAATCTTTAAAAGGAAAATTGGAAAAGGGAAACCCGTGTAGGAGGGGTAGGAATAGTCTAACCACCAGGATACCTATGGGTCCATTTGACCTGTTGGTCAAGGTTGTTCCAGAAACCATCCCCAAGGCTAGGACTAGGGAAAATTTTGCTGTAGAAGGCACTCCCTTTTGTCACCATTTCTTATGCTTCTTACTCTTTCCACTGATTTACACATACTTCTTCAGCTTCCAGCTCTGTTTCTTATCTGGTAACCATGGAAGCAACATTTTCAAGATGTCAGAGCCTCCATGGGCTGGGCCCTCAGTGACCATGTGGAGCAGAGCGCCCTCCACCCCGGGAACTACTTTTTCCTTTTATGTGAGAACAATAAGTTTGTGTTGCTCTTGTGCCATTGAACTTTTATCCCCGTTAGCCCAGCCCACCTAATGCAAAACGTCTAATGTGCGTCATCCAAAACCACAACAAATGACTTTTTTTATTTAAAGGATATAATAAAAGATTTGAATGAAGCTTTTGTAGCAAAGAAAGCCATTTATTGATTGTTCTTACGTCTTTTCTTATTGCTCATCTCCCAAGTAGATTGGTTTCCAATATCCTCAGGATCTAGGAGTAAAGGGGAACACAACCAGTAATCCATAATGAAATGAGTTGAATCTTATGACTCTTCACATTGTAGAAGATTTGGAATGTGAAAACATTGTGATGATCATTTCTATCTCTTTCTATCTAAAGGAAAGAGATCACTACCAAATGGAGCAAAGATCCACAGTCTTTTAGTCCCATAGCAAAAATCAAAGAAGTTTCAAAACTGAACATTTTTTTTTCATGGTTTTATAGCTAATTTGGCATCGAATCTGGATTTGAGCTGCCACAAGTCCATGTAAACTCTTTATTTATCATACTTGTGAATTCCTGCAATTTGATAAAGGAATGTTAATTTAGCATATTTCAGAATGGGATTTTGCCCCAGACCCTGTTGGGGTGTTTTGCAACATATAGGGTATAAACCACAGTATCTTTCTAAAACAATAAAGCATTATTATTTTACATCTGGCTTCAGAGTTTTTAATAAAGGATTATGGATGTTTGCTAGGAGTCCATGTTGTTAGTTCTGCCTCTACCAGGAAATTCCTATGTGTGATGTATAAAAGATCCTTCTATGTTTATTGTGGGAATTTCACCATATGTGGGATGGGAGAACAATGGTTATCTGGCCTACTTTTAGTTGTTGTAAACACCAAAGGATATTTTCTTTGCAAAGATATTTTCCGATAACACTATCTAGGCCAGTAGCATGTTGGGGGTCATCTGTTGAAAGGTATAAATTAAATTTGATGGTAATAACCAGAAGTTTTTCCTTCTGTCAATAAAGAGCAGAACCAGAGTCTATTGAGTTTTGAACAAGTTTTTGACAAAAACGAACCATAGCTGATTGTCCCATTTCTCTGCTCTCTGCAAAATGGGTGGTAAGGGTGGATGTCACTGTGCAATCCAAAGCTTTGGGGGATAGTGTAGTAAGGAATATGTAGTAAGATGGCACTGACATTCAGCTAGAGCCACCTGGTTAAGCCTGAATTCATGATTTCTTTCTTTGCAGTTTCCAAAATGGCCACATGGGATGGATGCAGAGAATGGTTCCTGGGCTGTGGTGTGTGCTCAGAAAAACAGGAGCTCTGAACTCAGACTCCAGATGTTCTGGGGCCCAGGGACAGCGGTCCTTACCCTTATCAGGACCACTTCTCAGCTCAGATCTCCAGGCTCTGAAGGGCACCGCGTCTGCACTAGACTCTGAGGAGTCATCAGATCTTCTCACTGCAGGAGGAGCAAATGTCCCTTGAAGGTCTAAGTGTATGACAAAGGAACTAACATAGGAAAAAGTTGGGAAGCTCTGAAAACCTAGTGCAAGACCCTCCCTCCTTCACACCTCCATGATCTGCCTTTTGTATTCATGGGACTGTAGGTCAGTATGTTGTCCCTCCCATCCCCTGAGACTGGGACGAAGATATTTCACCCCTGGTGGGCATCTCTGCTTTGTCTTATCTCTTCACTATCTCACACTGCATTCTCTTTCTTCTTTGACTTGTCTCTTTATGGATTTGTTGTTTTTTTCTATCTGTATTTGTATTTATTTTTAGCTCTGATTCTTTCTCAGGGCAGTCTCAGTCCCACTTGGCTGCTTCCCAGAATTACTTTGTGAAACAGAGCCGCACCCCTTCATAATCTAATCTTGTTAGGAATCCTTACTTGAAAAAAATTAAAATTCTACTGTGTTTGTCTTTGACTTCTTTGTGTTTATATGTTATAGCCATTAGCCTAACTAATACAAAAGTCGAAATCCAAACCGGCTAAAATGAAAGCAAATTTGTATTTGACTTCAAAGGACATAAAAAGGATAGAATGAATATTTGTAGAAAACAGTGTTCATATATAACTATGAAGAGTTAGTTACTCTTACCGGTTTTCCAAAGCCTTTTCCTGCATGTAGGTGATTTTCTAACACCCGTGGTCGCTGTAAAGTGAGAGGGAAGAAACAGCTATTTGCACACAGAAGTGTTACAAATTCTACGACATATGGGTCGTAGATACAGTTTGTGATAATATTGGTGTCGAGATGATCATTTCCCTCTTTTTCCTTCAACCAAACCCATTTTTGTGCCCAAGGTCATAATGCTGAGTTCTTGCCGGTTCACCCTTTTACTCTCCATGTGAATTTTTATTTTTTTACAAGTATTATATCTTTATTTGGTTTAAAAGCACATACATTTATTCCTTTATTTTTAATCAATTAATTAATTAATTAGTTAATTAATTTTTTTTTTCCTGGTGACATTGGTTAACAAAATCCGATAAGTTTCAGCTGTACACTTTAACAGTAAGTCATATATATATTTACACTGTATGTTCACCTCCCATAGTTAGATATCTTTCTGTCACCACATATTTGACCACTTTTTCGTTACTAGCTCCAGTTTCCTCATCTGTAAAGCTGGGGAAACCTATTTACCCTATCTCCCTGTTAAGCTTTTTGTGATAGCCAAATGAGCCTTTATTTACAAAAGCCCTGTTAAAAAATCACAACGTAAGCCAATGTTTTAAGTATCATTTTGGTTTGAGAATGGTTGGTCTGAAGCTATTTCCCCATTTATAATTAAATAGCAGCACTAATTATTCTTTTATTCTAAATTGGGGACTAATGTTGACAATATTGCCAACAAATAGAAGACTACTGTGCTTACTATGCTCTATAGAATATAAAGTATGTTGCTAGAAAATAAATATATTATTTTAAGCCTTTAGCATTAATAGACATGATAGTGCATAGTAAAAAGTGTCATTTTACTAGAATATTTTTGCTACAGTTTCTATCAATTGGGCTCATCCAGTTAAATAATAGTTTATAATGCCTTCTTGCCTCCTTCCTTTCCGAAAAGGGGCAGAAATGGTGTCCTGGAAATATTTGAATAAGGGCGTATGGAGAATGTCAGCATAAGAGTCGCCAGGAGAGCAGGGCCCTGCATTTAGACTCTGGATATTTGCCGTCCAGGAACATAATCTTTATATTCTTACCCAGTGCAGTGTGCAATCCTGAGCAGGTGGCTTCTTGGGTCTCTTCTGCTTCACTTGATTCTAAGGAGCCAAAGTCATTGAACACTGCAAAAAGGAACAGGATGCTTTAGGTGTCTCAGTGTGTGACCGAGGAACTGATTCAGCGAGAAATTCTCAAATAAGAAAACTTGGAAAAATCTTCATCATCCATGCAAATAGGCCACTCTCATCTGCCCTTCTAAGTCACCAGTCCTGTAGATAGGTGATGCTCCATTCCCTGTCCCCACGGAAGAGACAATTGACTGGCAGGGGGGACCTCTGCTCTATTTGAACCTTACCTTCCTACACTTCTCTCTCCTCTACCTCTTACCCCTTCCGTTGTCATTTCACACTTCCTTCATCTTCTTTCTCTTGTGGGGAGACCTTGGAAATCTTGTGTTGAAGAAAGTGATCCTCCTTTACCCCCCCGCCAACCTGGTACCCCCCTGAACTGTTTGCAAGGCTGAGAAGTAATCTTCTCTTGCATCTGAGCCATAGACCCATTTTGGGACCACATTTTAGGGCAGTGTGTCTACACTAAAACACAAATTAGAATGTGCGTGCTCTAAAAACTGAAACAAATTTACATTTTAATTTGATAGATCCAGTGGAGGCAATTAGAATGAATGTATTATTTTAAATATTGGTCTTTTATAGCAATAAGATCTGGTAAAACTTTTATTTGTTCTTAAGTCTTTTCCTAGTGTGTTTTCTCTAGACATGAAATCATGTTTCTAAAATCCTCTAAGAAAGTAGGAAGGAAAAACAGTCCTTCCTACAACAGTTTGTGATCGGATGACAATTTGTACACTAAAGAGCTACCGATCTTATGGCAACTCCTGTAGCATAGGAATGAGGAATGAGGAAACAACACTTTGGTAACCATTTCGAGCTCCAGTTTTACAAAGGAGATAAAGCAGAATCCGGGACACTAGTCTTGTCTTTCCCTTCATCTCCAGGAGACTTTACAGAAGACCTGAAACAGGTAAGCGATTGTGTTTTCTCACCTAGAATCAGGAGTAACTGCATCTTGCTTACCCCTCTGCGTTGTTGCAAAGGAAAAAGAAGACACTGCTTGCAAAGGTCCTTTGAAAAGTCACTATATGTGTTATGACCTGCTGAAGAAGTCTGTAAAAACAATACTTTGCATTTCAGAACCCTTATCTGACGTCTTTATTTCTGCCAACATTAGATAGTTAGACGAGTTGTCTTCAGACATGATTCAAAGTTTGTGATCGGATGACAATATGATCTTCCAATAAAGGAATATTTAGTTTTCTGTTCTCTATAGAAATCACTCTATACATCCAATATTTTATAGATGTAGCAACTAGTTAGTTTTAAAGTAAACTCATTACTTTGCTAGCCTATTTCTACTATACAATCAACATAAGGTACATACGTTGACTAATAGGACCCATCAATTAATAGGCCTCACCTTCAAAAAATACGTATATAATGATTTCTTATATCCCTGTATTTCCTAAAAAGATCCAGTAAAATAAACGGAAACATTGAGATTCCAGGATAAACTGGATACGTGGTCCAGAATGAACTCAGAATATGATGCCTCGGGAAACAGTAGCTCTTAATTCAGGTCCCTGCAGCCCAAACCTTTCTCTCCCACCTCCTTACCAGGCTGACGTCTTAGTTCGCCGGTGTGGGCTTCCGAGGGCTCGTCTTCATCACTGGATTCTGCGGAATCCTCACTGCTGATCACTGCACAGAGGAGCAAAACCCCTTAGGGTCTCAGGGTGGGGCCGAGGAACCCACAGACAGATAATTAGAGCACCAGGAAGACCTAGAAGCTAAGTTAACTTAGATCACGCCGGTCTGTGTTTGACTGTGGGTGACCTGCAGGTTGCTCCAAGTCCTACACAAAAGGTGGCGAAATTCATGCACAGAGGGCAGCTTGGCCCCTCCCGCACCTCTTCTTACCCCGCTTCATTCTGTCGCCTACTCCCATCCTCACTCTGCCTCTGAGCACCACCTTCCCGCCACCCCCATGCTACCTCTTTCTTTCATTCTCATTTTACTTCACTTTACTCTTGGCTGGGCCTATTTCCTCCAATTTATGCCTGTCTTTCTGGAGATGGTATCTCTTTATATCTCTCTTTGTCTTCCTGTGTTTCTGCATCTTCTCTCGTATCTTGGCTCTCTGATTCTTTTTTCTCTTTTCATTATCTTTTATCTTCACACTTTCCTCTCACTTTAGAAACAGTGTCTTGGACATTGGTACTTACTTACACCTGCCATTTCTGTTTTTGGTATTTTTCCAATTCCTGAGACCCTTAGTCTGCTAAACTCACTGCATAAAGCACTGCTTCCCCTCTCCCCCCGCCTCCATTTGGGGCTACCTGGATCTCCTAGGTGGACACTGATGACACGTCTCAGACCCTTGCCTAGTACCGTGATCCACATTACGCACGCTTTCCATCAGCCTTACCTATTATGTCAGATGCCTGGTTACAGTCAGTCCTTGCTTCGGCTTGCTGTTGATTCCTTGAATTAAAATATGGCTTTTCCTTCTTGATATCCCTCAGAAGTACAGAACAGGAATTTATTTTGATTTCATGGTTGGGTAGCTTCGCTCCTGGACAAAATTTCAATAAATGAAGAAGTCTGTCTCCCCAGCAGGGATAGAGCAACCCTCAAACCATTAACAAGTCCTTCTCCCTATAATTACCCTGCAGGAGAAAGTTTACCCCTGATTTCTCTCCTTTCCTGCTGCTTAACTCTGTCCCTGCCTTTGCACCTCTCTTAACTTTGGGTTTTTTGTTTTTATTTTTGTTTTCATTTTGTTTTTACCTACTCTTCTCATTTTTTCGCCTTTTCAAAAATAAAAATTATAATTGCAGTAAAACATACATAAAAATGAGTCACTCATAAATTTAGAATGATCACAGAGGAAGCATATCTGAGTAACCATCACTTCGATCAAGTAATAGATTACTAACACCCAGAGGCCTCTCAGTGATGCCTCCCACGAACCGTCCCCACTGACCTTGCTCAAGTTAATCACACTTGGACTTTTAACATCACAGATGATTAATTTTGCCAGTTCGGAATTTTTCTGTATAAATAGAACCATGGATTCTCTCTCTCTCTCCCCCACTTTCTCTCTTTCTCTCCCTCCCTTCTTTTCCTCTCTGTTATTTGGTTATGGGGATTTGACTTATTTTCTCAACATTATGTGTATGACCGTCGCCTGTATTCATTTTGTGTATTTATTTTCACTGCCGTATAGTATTCCATTATAGAAATTATTCGTTAAAAGTAAAGCCATTGGAAGATTATACCAAACTGTTTTCCAAAAACATACGTAAAGGCAGAGATTTAGTTCAGAGGGCTTGGCGAATTCGAATAACTAAAGGGAGTCTGGATGGCGTGAACGTGACGTGAGAGTGAGAGGGAAGGAATGGGAAATCCACGACTGTTGGTAGCCAGCTGGCTTTCGAAGCTCCGCACCATGCCGTTTTGACCTGACGCTGAGGGCCACAGCAAGACATTCTGTTTTAAACAGGAAAGCCATATGGCCCGGTTTGAATTTTTGCAAGACCCGTTGAGCTGACGTGCTGAGACTGGGTCTGAGGGGAGTGAGATGGGAGGAAGGAGGCCAGCAGGAGACCCGTCCACTGTTGAACTGATAATTCATACAGCCCCCAAACAGAGACATCCATCAGATCTTCCAATAAAGACCTTCGGACACTTGGATGAATGAGCCTAGATGACAGGTCTGGGCTGGATATGTGTGTTTAGAAATCAGTAGATCATAGATGGTGACTAAAGCCTTGGAGAGAATGTGATGCTTGGGTTTCAGGGCCATTTTGATCACTGTGGACACCTTACCTTCTAGACGTGTTAAGAATAGTCCATGATGCCTTCCTTCCTGTGACTGTCTCCTGAGCCGGGTCTTGATTTGTCCACTCTCTCTCTCTATTTGGTCTACTCTCTACCTAATTTTCATTCATTGTTTCTTACTCATTCTCTACATAGTTCTCTTCGTGCCTCCCGTATTTTTTTTTTTATTATTATTGGCAGGTGCTTCCCTGTGTATCTTTCTCTATTCATACCTTTTTCCTCTTCATTTTTTATCACTGTCCTCCAGGGCTGAACAAGGTCTAAGGTGAGGTAAAAGAGGTGCGTAGGACACAAGAAGGTGCTGGGAGCGAGAGCCTCCTTATCCGTGCCCTCGGGTCTCCCTCGCCTCACCCTAGATCTGACCTCGCTGTCCCCTGCCTGATTTTTCATTTAGCCATCTCTGTTAATGTTTCCTACTTTCTTCCATTCTGTCTCTGTTAATCATCAGTGTGATCTATCTATGCCTCTTTTATATCAATTTGTCTTTCCATATATTGTCCTCATCTCAAGCATTCATATCATCACCAAATTCTTCCTCCGTCCGTGCCTTTGCTCACCTCATCAGGTCCCTCTGCCCGTCACTTCATTTCTAAAGGTCCTTCACCTGGGCTTCCTTACTTGCAAATCTGACCAGCAGCACCATGCATGACTTCCATGTTTCTGTCATAACTTCTAAAAACCAAGTGGCAACTTATTTCTTTGCACCAACTCCACAACATGGTAGTGTTTAAATTCCATGTCGATTTATCTGAAATCTTTCTCGCTCTCGTATTTTATTTGGTGTTCCCCAGTCTATCTTTTCCATGATCTCTCTCTCTGTGTTCTCTTTCCAGAGACATTCTCTCAATTAAAGAGCTGAGCTCTTTCTCCTTTGCATCTCGTGCCTGTCGGAAGCCGTCAGAGACTGTGCCCGAGGTCGTGTCATGGTGGTGTTAGGTGGGCCAGGGAGGCAGTTAATATGGAAGAACAAAGGAAAGCTTTGGCTTTTGTAGAAAAACAAAGATATAGTTAGAAAATTGGTAAGATAGGTAATAATTACTTTCTTCAGCACCAGACAATGAGCTGGCTGTCTCTTCTCTTGCATCTCCATTATTCACTTGGATAGGTACTTGTTCACAAGACTCTGAAGATAAAAAAGACAACAGTTGAGATCCAACAAAGCCTTGCTCTGCCCCCTATTACCATTTTGTTACACCCCACCTGGCTTCTTTTTTCCTCTTGTGTTCCTACTTTTTTCCTCTTGTGTTCCTCACCCAGTGAGAGTGTTGGTGCTTCATCGATTCCGTGACCAATCTCTCCCTGATGTCTTTTGTCTTTTGTTTCCATCTCCCTTCCCCGTGAGGCTCTGCAGCTCTTCACTCTTTGTCTTTTAATTGTTTCTTTCTAATTTTCTTTCTCTAGGTCTCTCTTATCAATATATCAAGCTCCATTCCTGCACTCTGAGTGTCTGTGTGATTTCCCCTTTTTTTGCTAATAGATGCTTTCCAGATTCATGCATCACTTTATACTCTGCCACCAGCCAGTACCCCTTGGCCTTTCCACACTCATCAAACCCAGCCACTGAGTCTCACCTGCTGACTCAGACTCTTGGGCTTGTCGTTCATCTGCTTGTTGGCTTTCTAGTGCATCACTGCTGCCATTGGTTGTATTTCTTCTTGCATTTATCTGCTCTATTTCAGACAGGTGCTCTGAGAGTCCATTTTCAGGTGAGGTTGTACCTAAACCATGTTTTGATTTCATAGATATTTTATTTGCCCCCTGTATCAACCAGGTTCCAACAGGAAAATACAAACCTCTCTATGCTTTGAAAGCAGAGGGAATTTAATCCAGGGGATTGAATACACAGTTGATGGAAGAGCTGAGATGTCTGACTGGAAAAATAGTCAACAGGAAGCCATGGGAGGGGACCAAGGGAGAGCCCAGAGGCAGGGTCTCTGGGTGAGAAGAAGCTGGACCATGGCCAGCATGCTTGGTGGTGAGTGGAGTCCTGGGGGAGATGCACTACTGCCAGACTTGCTGCCTGAGGCAGCGATGTGGGGAACACCAACTTCTCCCTTGCTCCCGCCTTCTTGCTAATGTTTCCCATGTTAGGATCCCAGCAAGAAATCATTGAACAAGGGAGCTGACGAGCAAGTCTGCAGGCGCCAGTGGCCAGAGATAGAGGACAGAGCGGAGCAGGAAACAGTTAAGGAAGGAATCCCTGTGCAAACCTCGCAAGATCAGCAACCCCCTTCTGCCTGACGAACCTCCTCTGCTCATTACTGATGCTATCGACCCACCTTACTCTGTCCCCACCAACCTCGATAGTGTATGAATGGACAATGTTTTCAGTGCCATCTGGATTTTTTCATTTAGTGCTATTTTTCTAAGCAAAGTAATTTAGGTAAAATATGATTTAAAAATTAATTTTTGAAATTTTAATACAGAACTTGGACCCTGGTGCATTTCTGTGTGACATCCACAGTTTCGTAGAGCCTTCTCTTGGGGTGATGGGCACAAGACAGTGTCCTTCCCTCACCTGTGCATGCACAGTCAGACTCTTGGACGCATTTATCGGTGACTTAACTGTGTATCATTTGAGTTGTAAGTTGAAATTTCTCTTTATATTCATTTCTTCCCATCACTGAGATGCTCTGGGATTTCATTTCCAGACAGGGAATCCCCTGACCACGTAGTGAGTTAAAATGTCATTGCCTCCTCCCTCCACGCTCCACCCCCGCCAACCCCCGACACACATACACTGAATTCTTTTCTTCATTACTAGTCACCGTCCCTTCCACTTATCCCTTTTTGTTCCCACCAACTGCACGAGTAGATAAATAGCTAATATGGATTCATGCATTTTAAACGATATTTTTGAATCAATGTGATTTGCTCAAAGTATAATTATGCTTTCAACAATCACTCCGAAGTTTTGTTTTTTTTTTTTAAATAAAAATGTATTGCTCACTTAGAACATCTTTTTCTTAAACAACACATCCCACTGGAAGCTACCTAACAGGGGCTTTCCATGGTGTGGGGAGATCTCTGAGACTTCCAAGTTACTCATGAAATTTATCACAGACCAGTGTGCCCTGAAGGTGGGGAGCCTATGGCCCTCAATTTATCTTCCTGGGCCTGAGGTTGGGATTGCTTTTTTCTCTGCTCCACAGCCTAGAGATCATTAAATTCACAATGGACATCTGTGGTCGAAGGAATCTCCCAGGTAACTGCAGTGGTTAAAATCTTAGACTGTGGCACCAGACACAAATAACGATGACCACTAAGCATAGTCATATTAAAGAACTCACAGAACGCTGATGAAGTGCCTGGCATGGTTGTGAATGCTGGGCATAACATCACGCGTTTAAAATCCACCGCCCTGTGAAGTGGGTACTGTTATCGCATCCATTTTACAGATGCTAAAACTGAGGGACAAAGAGGAGAAGTCGCTTCCTCAAGGTCACAGGGCAGAATTGGAAGCCAGATGGCCGGTTACCAGACCTCTGGCCTAGACACCGCCTCATAGCAGAGTTCAGTCTCTATTCTCAGTGGCTGAACTTGGACAAAAAGCATTCTGTCTCGTTCTTTCTCCTCTAAAAAAATGAAGATGATATATATTATTTTAAGGTGTTTGAGAAGATAAAGTAAAATATTGCCTGTATCATTATAAGGGATACTGTGACTGATCTGAAAATAAACTCTTTATGATTAGTGTCTTAAATGTATAGTAGTTAAAATAATTTAATAACGTTATTAAGAGTGTATAGATTAAGGGGAAGTCAAGAGATGTAAGCAGTGGTTATTGGTTACTAAAGCACCAAAGTGGGTTTTCAGAGGCCCATCAGGTATTTGGTGGGCAGCTCCTGGCCTGCAGCCCCAGGGACGACAGGAGAGGGTTTGCATGGGAGGCACATAGTGCTCATGGTCTTAAGTCAGGGATCCAACAGGTGAGGGACCCTGGCCCAGAAGGATCACACTCATCATCCCTCCCCCTCCACTTCCCCTGCAGCTCTGGCCACTGCTGGAAGTGACATCAAAGCACCAAATCCACACCCAGATTTGAGCAAGACAGACGCAGAAAACTGTGAAGCCAGGCACAGGGACCTAAAGGTCCCAGCTCAGAGCCATGAGGAGCTGTCAGCAAGTACGTTCGTTTAAGGAGTGTGGAAGGAGCGGTTCTCCCAGGCAACCCAGAGTACGGAGACTCCATTATCTAAGTTCTTGGAGAAACTGCAGATGCAGAGACTGACAATTCTGGGCAGTCAGCACTAAGAAGAAGCAGCCCTCCCTCTACAGCACATGACAAGATGGGACAAAGGATCACAGAACAGTCAACAGGAACAGACCACTGTTATTCAAGGAATCTGGCTGGGCCCAGGTCAAGCTATGATAGGAGTTTTCACCAGTGCCTAGGATGGAAGAAATTAGAAGCTTATATCAGAAATGGGAGTGTGAGCGATGCCAATCTCTCCTCATCCCCTTTTAATCTCTATAAATGGGAGTTGAAGGCTCCCACCCCAGATATCAATACAGAGCCCGTGTGAACCTGACGGATCCAGCCCACTCTTATAATCAGACCCTAGTACCTTATTTGGGCTGAGGGGGCCTTGGCCAGCCTATTTCATCGAGTGTCCTCTGTGAGACACCAGGTAACTGGCAACGGTCCTTCTTGTCACCCATGCCTTTGCCCCAGAGCTGCCCCTGACTGGTGGCCTTACCTTACTTCCTGTGCCCCTCCCCCCACACCCTCCCTCTGCTCGTGTGTGTGCAGGGTCAAGAACACAGGCTCTGGCTTCAGAATACCGGGTTCATCCTGCTCGTGTGACCCCAGAACAGGTACATACATGCGCTCTCTGATTTCTGCAAAATGGGCACCTAGTGATGCCACCCGTCAATGGCAGCTGTGAGCGCTAAACCCAGGACTGCCCGAGCCAATGTTCAATAAGCGAGCTCCTGATAATGTGGTTGTTTTTTATTGTGTTTTTATCCCTTTCCTCTACTTTTCACTGCCCCTCCTTCTTTCTCTCTCTCGGGCACCTAGATGCCACCCGTCAATGGCAGCTGTGAGCGCTAAACCCAGGACTGCCCGAGCCAATGTTCAATAAGCGAGCTCCTGATAATGTGGTTGTTTTTTATTGTGTTTTTATCCCTTTCCTCTACTTTTCACTGCCCCTCCTTCTTTCTCTCTCTCTAATACCCACACCACAACCACTTCCTCTCCTCTCTCTACATGAGTCTTTCTCCTTGAATTTCCTGCTCTTGCATAACATCCCACACTTAAATCAGTCCCTTCTCCTGCCATCATCAAGGGTCTTCTCTTTGACGTTGACCTTGAGCCCATAGTTCTTAGCCCTTCATAGCTTCACACTGATCTTCTCTACGTGGCATCTTTTAAATCACAATTACTTCTAGTTCCTCATCTCTTTAAATCTGGTCTGCTGACACACTGGGTTTTTGCTCCTTTGTCTTGGTGATTGGACCAAAGGTCTTTTGTCATAGCTACTCCTCCAGGATTGGCCTCTGGTCAGACGCTCACACAAACACTGTCCCTGTCTTCTCCATGTGACTTGACCTTTCTTCCCTGATTCCCCAAATCCACTCAGGACTTAGGCCCCCACCTCCCTTTCTCCTTTTTTCTTAGCTGATGAGAATTGGTTTTTATTTGGTCATAATCACCTTGTTCAAGACTTAGCTGGGTAGTAGTCCTCTCCTCCCTTTCTTCATTATCACTTTCTTGGTAACAAATTTTCTCTTGGATGGCTGAAAAGAGAGACAGAGAAGAGGACAGTTAGAGATCTCCATCAGACACCATAAACATCTTGAATTTACACATTTAGGCATTTCCAGCCCTTGGGTTACTGAGAGCTCAGTGGGTCCCAGTCCTCACGGTGAAGTTCCTCCTGCACCCCTGGGACAGAAAGGAGAACCTCCGGTGAGGGAGCCCTTACACGTTCCCCACAGAAAGGAGCCACCTGAATGCCGGGATAAAGGAGTCGTGGAAACAGCCTGTTACTGATGTAAGAAAAATTCAGATGGCCGGGAAAGCATATGTCAACATAAATACTGGAAATGTAGTAATGTGTCTTCTGACTTGTTCAAACTGTTAGGAAGAGACAGAGGGATACCTCGGTCGAAGGACTAGGATCCTATAGAAGTCCACGTGTATAAAAGAGGAATTTTAATTGCTTTAAAGATGGCACTGGACAAGAGAAGGATTGGCTTTAATTGGGTCAGGGAGGATGAGAACTTTCCTAAGAGACACCAGAGGACAGAGCAGAGGACCTAGACAGACCTCCCAAGGTGGAGGATGAGGGGATCCCAGGAACAAAGGAAGGACACTCTGAAGCTGCAAGAGGGGGGTGCACAGGGTGGATCTGGAGGTCATCCCAAAGATGCCTGGACCAGGGGCCCAAGAGGCTTCCAGTGAGGAGACATCAGGGCACTCGCCCAGGGTCCCTGTATGTAGGTGACCTGGAAAATGTAAGGAGGAAGGAAATAAACAAAGAAGCCCAGATATGGGTCTCCATGGGGAGCTCAGGGAGGAGGTAACAACACCATGGGAAGGGGGAGGGGTCTACACTGTGCCAGGGCCGATGGTGGAAGCATCCCCTGAGACAATGCTCATGGTTGGTAAATGAAGAGGTCTGTGGGAACCATGGATGCTTTGTCATCCCAGGACATGGCTACAAATTCCAGAAAAATTGGGTGAATGGTACTAGGAGAACAAAGGGCCCAACGTCTAGAACATGTGAAGGAGCCCTGTATGCAGGTGCTCCTCTGAGCGGTCATGGGATGCAGGTGAGGTCCAGGCACAGGAGAGGGTGCCATGCTCTGGACCCAAGCCCTAAG